CCGTCATGTAATTATTTACTTTTATTATTGTGAATGCCGTTTTAGCTCAAGAAATACATAGTAATTGAAGTTTAATCAAATCGAAATTTCATAAGAAATTTATAAATAACAACGTTTTTTGTTGATACCTTTTTCGGCAAAATAAAGATCTGATGCACTCAAATGATATTCATTATTTTGTGACTAACCAAAAATGACAGAGTAATATTAGATATACTGCAGCTTTAATCCCCATTATTGTGCGACACATGTACTCTATAATAAAGTATTTGACCTTATTTAAGACGGATTTGGGTCAAATTTTTTTACAAAAAAAATGAAGTAATATTAAATATACGGTTAAACTTCTACATAGGAAATAAAGGTTAATTCGAGACATATTGCACTGACAAGTAGCAATTAAATCTCGATAAATCGATAAATTAGAAACAGAATTTTAAATATTATTAACAGAAAACAATATTTTATATAAAAAGACGCTCAAAACTTTAAAAAAGCTATTAAATAATAAAAAAAAAACAGGACAACATTTGAGTACAATTGTATGTCAAGTTAAAAAATAGAATGACATTAACAAATTAAATTTCAGTTTATCACATGAGTTTTTCTTTCAAAACACGAAAACGGATTTCCATCGACTGTCCTCGTTATCAATGCACAAGTAGTCAAGTGTACTTATATTTAGGTACCTGATGGTATATCTTAACTCTTTTAATATGAATAATAAACATGATGCAGCTTGGTGTAATTGCACACGTCTTTTGATACATACATTTTGCCTCACAAGTTACAGCTCTATGCATTATTACGATTAATAACCACAAGTGCTCGCGGCATCTAATAGATATGCATTCGTCTATTCAGCAATGGGACAAATTATGCAATCAAAATTCTATCTTGTGTTAATCAACTAGTTATTAATAAGTTAACAACTAAAATTGATTATAATCAACAATTTATTTATAATTATTTAATATTAAAGACATGTTTTGGCTATTTGTAAAATAACTGAACAGTTCGTTCCCAAAATCATTCGAACATTATGCAAATTGCATCAATATTTAACTGGACATATTCTCGGAGCATCGGATATATGTTTCTTTATCTCTGTATTTGTCTTGAATTTATTTTAAGTATACCAATCATTTCAATTTTACTTGTTATCCAATAAATTTTACTTCGACGTGACCTTTCAATCTTTGTCGTCAAAGAAAGGTTTCAGAATTTCAGATTATTCATAAGGTTCTACTTTTGTACACAAACAAATATGCAACTTAATTATCAAATAACAAGCACATACCAGAAACATAAGTGCTTCGGATATTCAACTGCAATAGAGAACAATTATCAAGGCTGATTTTGTACATTACCTGTGACTGTTCACTTCAATATGCGGCGTCTTTGATGTGGAGCATCAACATTCAATTTGTTCAATATTAATTTGTTTCCAACAATGCATACTGCAAACGAATAATAAATGATAAAGGTGGTTACAAACCATCCTATAAAAAGATTGCATGGCAGTTTGAAAACATACTAGTATCATATTAACAATGATGACATTTTTGAACTGTGCAGTGTCAAAAAGTTTTAAAAAAGACGTGCAAATTTCAAAAATAAGATAAATTCGAAACGTATTAATTTTACAGTTTGATTTAAATATGTTATCGGCTAATCGATTTTAAGCAATCTCAAGATTTTAATACAGACTCTATGTGACTTTGTTGATAATTTGATCAATCATGTACAACTTATCCGAATCAGTTTATCATTCTGAAAAAGATGACATACATTGAACACCTGTCACATCATTACAAATAAGTAATTGCAAATATTTTAAGAAAATCACACCCAATACGTAATCAAAGCTATGTGAAACAGTTTTTAAAAAATAGCTTTAAATAATAAGATACATCAAAATATATAGAGGATATTCAAGTTTTTTCTATAAATACATGATTTATTTTCATTGAGTGGTATGAAAATAAATATTTCATGAGTGGCGGTAGCCACGAGTGAAATATGGTAATTTTCATGCCACAAGATGAAAATAAATCATGTATTTATGGAAAAAACTTGAATTTTCTGTTTATTATATACATTTTTCTCTTTTTTGACATTAAAATTTGAAAGACTTTCCCTTAAATTTTGTGTACATGCAGAATTTAAAAGAAAGTAGTCCGGCAAGACACCAGTGAAAATACGGAAAATATGTTTCACTGCAGTGAAAAATAAATTTTTACAGTGAAAATACAGAAAATGAAAATACACATTTTATTTCATCAATATTTCTCAATATTTCATTCGTAAGTATATAATAAATGGTATTACAGATCGGTTTAAATATGTTTATCATCAGCTTGTATTTTCAAGCATTTGATTTTTATTTACTATAGAAACTTTGACTAAATCAAAATTCTAAAAGTCAGCTACCTACTTGGTATCACACTTATCTTCCTTTTTCAAATCTGTTATTGTATCTGCATTAAACTACCGCTAAGATAAACAATTTTGAAAAGTTCAACAGAAAATTCCTTATTGTACCTTAATCGAAATGGGGCGTATCTTTATATTTCATATTTTACTTTACTTCACATCGTAAATTCAAAATTATTGTGAAAAAGACAACTTGGATAATGTTACAGCAAATCGAAGCTAACGTAGCTTGAAAGGCAATGAGACGTGTTAAATTAACTAACAAAAAAGAACACATCGAGCACTCCTCGTGATGTATTTTATGTATATTATAATGATTATATATTTTAGAGTTTATTAACATGAAAATGATTTATGACATCAGCATTATTAAATGTTTGTTCGGATCACATGTAAATATCTCACTGTGATTTATTTAAGAAACGTTATGGTCTTTGTCTATTTTCGGTTTAATCTCATGTCGGATGTCAAAACCAATTCAAAAATTAAATGTATATAGTTAATCTCATTTTGGGCTTTGTTTTAATGAAGGAAAAAACATCACAATTTGTATTACTATCAGTCTTACAAATGATAGGGAAATAGAACTTTTTCAATGTTCATACAATATTATCAAGACCATATACTTTGGAAAGTAAAAACTGACACGACACACAAGCATTAAAACACGCATCATTATCGGTTAAACATTCTTGAATTAGACCTAAACGACTTTTAACGCAATCTTTACATTTTTAAAACATCGGTGTATCAAATATTTTAAATAATAATAATTAAAAAAACACATGAAGTTCCAGACAGCAAAATAGAATACGTTTAATGTTAAAATGCAATATTTGAAACACATGAAATCAACGGAGCGAATGTCTCCTGTTTTCTTGGAAAGGGGGATTTCATGTCAAACAAACTTTCGAATGTAATAAAATTAAATACAAATGTTTTCATTTTATTAAGTAAGTTTTAATGATTTATTTTAGCTTGTAAAACGGTATACAGTACAAGAAAAACTATTTTTCAAACAAAATGACCCTATTAATCAAACATATGGACGGCATTTGAAAGTATTTAAATACAAGAGGAAAAGTGAAGAAAGGTGAACAGTCAGTTTTTGAAAATTTACGTTAAAATGATAATGTTTGTTTTATGCCACGACAATCTGCATAAAATATGCGTAATTTATAATACATTGGTAATAAAAATGATACACCAGGATATTTTAACGCATTTTAACTTAACATCTACCTTTCTGATCTTATTGTATGAGTGGATGAGGAAGAAAATATCTACCTGTTTTGAAAAATAAACGCCTCTTTACTTTAAATTCATATGTGTTGATACCAATTATCGGATTTAAGAATTTATTTCACAAGGTATGTAACTTCTTAAAGTATATAAAGATACATAATATAACATATTCTTATAAAAAAAAATAAAAAAGGGTATGATTATGTTTTTCCCTCCTTTTTGTGGTATATTCTCGAAAGTATTTTACTACAGAGAGTATTTTACTTAACATTTGGTAAAATCTTTAGTGTGTGATTTGCATTACATTATTATATGGATGCATCACATCAAAAATAGTTCTGTATCGCTACACGAGTATGGGGCACTATATTTGATTTTGAAGGTTAAGCGTCTTAATATGTCAAGAAGACGTTTTCCTGTCATTGAATCGTAATAACAATAGCTAAATAAATTACATGTCTGCATGAGATGTTTGACTTTTTTGTTGAATAAGGTCATCATACTTAAAACAATAAGCACTGTATAATGTCATTAAAACAACATCATAAGTTTTGTTCGAATTATAAATTAAATCTGTCAATTTAACGTTGAAACTAACTTATATACATAATGTATTGTATGTTAACGAGATGAATATAGGTTATTCCACGTATGATATTAAAATATTTGTTTTGCTAGTTACTACTGTTCGTTTCTGTATGTATATGTTTTCAATGTTAACCGTTTTATGCGTGAAATTATATTTAAATATCTATAAAAATATAAGTCACAGTCTGAGAAGTAAATATTTGCCGACTGTGTCTTTGTTTGTTTTGAATATGTATCATCATTAAAATTTGAAAATAACATTTACACTGAAAAAATACACAGCAAATATAACAAGAGATTAATTTGCTTTCACGGCGTTCTCGTATTCTTTGAAAAATGTGCGTTATATTTCTTTTTCGTCCCTTTCTCGCGCTTAAGTAAAACAGACACAAATCGTTGTGATTCCAATAACAAGTCATCAAATTGAACGCAGATGTGTTTGTTTTCAGTGAAATTCCTTTATATCTCATATCGAAATGAGACAGATAAGACTGGTGTGATATATAGTAATACTGTATATTCACTTATTATAATGCAAATAAGTATATTCAATGTTTGTAATCAAAGTGAGAAAAGGCAACTCTACGTGCATGTAAAAAAATTCCAATTTTTGTTTTACTGTGTAAAAGATAGGACTTTTACTAAAAACAAACTCGATATTCTTTATTTTCAATTATTCCTCATAGATAGATATATCATATTATTATATTCCTCATATTAGATAAAATCAAACTGTGTTATTTAAAGGTATCACAGTTGACACCATGACAAGATTGGTTTCAGTAATTTTGGTGTTAGTGTGTCAGATTGGTAAGTAGCTTTTATGATAATTTATTGCAATTCTACAGCAATGTATTGTATTGTTATGAAAAAGAACTATAAATATAAAGTAGACTGTATTGGATATCTTGAAAAGGTCCTTAATTCATAAGTTATTACATGTGCCTATTTCTATATTGTCTATATAAGTAAATGCTCATTTTTATCAATACATTGAAACAAATGATAATTAATGTAAATAGAAATGTATAATAGCTTTATTGTTTATTCAAAACAGATATATTTTTGTTTAAGAGTTATCAACACAAATCTGTTCAGATTGTTTATGTTGCAAAATCGGGACAAGTTATTGTGTTGCTTAGAATAATATTATTGAATGTATATTTATCTTTTCTGGTGTAAAAAGCACCGAGGACCTTTTAGAAAAACCTTATCAACAACATACATAATGAAAGATGGTGATCTTGATTTTTATTAATTTTCTAGGGTTATCGATGCAGGCTTGCAATGAATGTGCATGTTGTAAAGGAAGTCATAATTGTGATTCCAACAATAATTGTGTTGATGGTTGTATCGACGGTTATTATGGTAATAAATGTACAGAGGAGTGTCTAGAAAATTGTAAAACTTGTGTTAATTGTACTGGATGTACTGAATGTCGACCTGGTTATTATACCAACAAATGTAATTTGCAATGTGGGAAAGGTTGTCTCAACAATACATGTTCGTTTGAATCAGGTCAATGTTCTTGTACATCAATTAATTTTGTTAAAGGTTATTGTGATACCTGCTTAGGTTTAAAATATGGAGATGAATGTAACAATACATGTCCTAGTAACTGTGGAAGTTGCATATCAGATACAGAATGTCCATGGTGTATAAACAGTTTTTATTACGGATCATATTGTCAGTATAGATGTTCAGTTGGTTGCGACGATGGATCATGCAATAAAAATACTGGATATTGTACTGAAGGTTGCAAGCCTGGCTTTACTGGGGACAAATGTAATACATGCTCACCTGGATTGCACGGTCGTTTCTGTGATCTAAATTGCACAGAAAATTGTTTAACTTGCCTTTCGGCGACAAATTGCTTGACGTGCAAATTTGGGTTTTACAGTGACACGTGTATGAACACCTGTCCGACAGGTTGTGATGGAAACTGTTCACTTATTGGTTGTAGATGTTCTGATTGCAAGCCGGGATTTTACGGAGAATATTGTAACCATACGTGTAGAAATGAAACTTATGGTTATAATTGTTCACAACTATGTCGTAATGTCGACGAACATTGCAATACATGTATCACAAGTGAATCAGGAAAATATGGTGACTGTTTAATATGCGACAGAGGATATTACCTAATATCTCCTTTTGAACAAACCGTTAACATATGTAGAGTCTGTCCAAATAACTGTTTAGATAAAATATGCGATACAGTTGGGTTATGCAACATCGGGTGTGTCCGGGGAAAGTGGGGAGATAGGTGCAACTTTGATTGTGAAATTAACTGTGTAGAGTGCAATAAAAAAGATGGACAATGTTTAGAGTGCACACGTGACATGTTCTCAGAGAATTGCACACAAACATGCAGTTCAACTTGCAATCGGATCGACGATGGTCGAACTTGTGCTCAAGATACAGGAACGTGTTTACAGGGATGCAAATCATTCACAAAATATGGAGAATATTGTGAAAAACATTGTAGTGATACTTGCAACAATAAAAGCTGCGACTTGAAAACGGGATATTGCACAGACGGGTGTGCAATGAATTACTATGGATCGTTTTGCGACAAAACATGTGCAGATGCATGTCAATCAAATGAAAGGAAGCGGGTTTGTGATGTTGAAAACGGGGATTGCTTGTATGGATGCAAAGATGGATTCCGTGGAAAGAGATGTAACAACATATGCGACAGGGATTTAAAGGACCGAAATGCGTTGAAGGTATATAAAATCACATGTATACAGCAAAACGTTACTCATCAACTATTTATTATCAACGCAAGTCAATATTAAGATAATGTCGTAGGAAAATATAACGATTTCATTTTTTTCTGAAAGCCTAGTTAAAAATTTTTTTTTTTCAATTTAAAAAGTTCAACTTTAAAAAGAATTATTTTTTCTTTTATTAGCGATACAACCCGGTCAAGAAGGCCATACCACAGGTACATTGATAGGATCTATAGCTGGGTCATTTGTAGCTGGTGGTATTATTGTTGGAGTTGCCACTTTGATTGCCTTTATTGTATGGAGACGAAGGTTCGTAACACATTTACGCAAAAATCTTTCTTTTTTGTGCAAATAAATACATTTTCAAAGTAAATATATTTAATCAAGCATTGCTTTAAATACAAAGTTATTGCAAACTTAAACCTAGCCCGTTTTGCTAAACTTTCAAGTGTTATTTGGTAATTTTGTATATTTCTTTTACACTCGTATATTAAATGAATGGATTTATTGCATAAGTTCGTTAATAATGTTTTTTGTTAAACATATGTCTTAATTATTTCTAGACATGGATGTGATAAACAAGCAGACAAACATGGATACGAAAAAAAGCCTGTGCCTGGTGAAAATTGTCCCAACGGTAATTCTTTAATAATGCTTCTTTCATTAAGATGGTTTGATATACATGTCTTAAACTAATGTATTAATGTGTCTTAGGGATGTTATTTTAATTAACTAGTCTCTCAAAACTGTACTTTATTTATGAGGATTTACCTTACAATTTTGTGTCTTGAAATGAGTAGACAAAAACATTAAGGAAAAAAAATAAAGATAGAAATCTTTTTTTTTTAATGAAAAAATTACTACTAATTTCTATGAGTAAATAGTAATGATGTTTTAAGAGCAAAAATCGTTTCCTGTCTGTATAACCCAATAAGGGAAAATTCTATATATTTTATTCAGATTGCACATTTGAGATGAACTCTCCTGTTACATATGAAGCTTTGAAATCACGTGACGAGATACTATACAGTCAGAATACTACAAATCAGCAGATATCACCACCAGCAACTGTTTATGTTAACACTAGATTTTAACTAACTTCTTTTACTGACAATAATGTTTGTGACAAATGAATCTTTTTGTAGTTTAAATAATTTGGTTGACTATTGAATAATGCAAATGCTTTTCAGCAAGTGAAACTGAAGACAGTATTTTTACACCATAAATGCAAAATACTGTTTTATAGTTAAAGTGATTTGATTGGTATGCACGTGTTTCTATTGATTATGCAACTTTAAACATTGTAAAGATGGTAGCAATCTAAAAGTAATTTGCATTCTGATCGATCAGATATGTCTGTTTTAAATCTTTTTCATTTGATTAACACTATTTCTTGTGTTACAACTTATTATATAAATCATCAATGGTTAGTATTAAACAATTTTTAGCAAAAAATAAATTACCTGAACTTAAAACAAATTAACATATCAAATTAACATAATGACATATAATTGAATAAACGTTATTAAAATGTTATAATTGTATATTCTTGTATAAAACTGAAGATAAAACATATAATTAATACCAAATCGATGATGAAGCAAGGTGATAGGTCTTTTATAGGGTTTTTATCTAGGTAAATCAACAGTTGTAGCCTCGGGAAATACAGTAAAGCTCACACGACCCGCAGTGATAACCCACTTACAGGGTTATTATTTTAAGTTAACACACAGTGATAGCCCATGAAAATATAGTGATATAGTGAAGTTCACACAATCCACGATGATATGCCTGTTAGAGGGTTTTCATCTTAAGTCAATCAACGGCGATAGCCCTAAGGAAATAAATATTGTTAAACTCAATAAACCCATGGTGAAAGACCTTGTAGATGATTCAAGTCCATATAAAACCCACGATGATAGCCTCAAGGAATACAAAGTTCAAATAACCAACAGCAACAAGGCTTTTAGAGTGCCATCGAAATAAATTCTTACACCGATAGACGCAGAATATATTAAGGCTGACACAACTCGCAGTAATAGCCCTAACTAAGGGGGTACTTATCGCAAAAAGAAAAAGATTAGCTTCAGCAAATACAGTAGGGCTCACACAACCCATGGTGATAGGTCCTTAAGAGGGTTCTTTTTTGCAATCATTAATACCGTGTTAGCGTTAGGAAATACAGTAAAGCTAACACATCCCACAGTGACAAGCCTTTAAGACAGTACTTTTCACAATGAAACAAATATGGTTAGCTTCAAGGAATACAGTAAAGCTCACACAGCCCATGGTGATACGCTTTTTAGAAGACTCTTAACGCAATGAAACCCCCAAGAATATCCTAAGGGAATACATGAAATCTAATGAAACCAACTGTAATACAACTTTTAAAGCAATGTTCTCGCAATAACTCATGGGAATATATTAAATATCACACAATCCTCGGAAATAGGCCTTAAAGAGACTTCTAATCGCTAAAAAATAACAAAAGGTAAAAATCTTCAGAATACAGTGATGCTCACACAAGTCATTTAAATAGGGTTTTGCGGGCTTTATCGCAATGAAATTCACAATGATTGTTTCAGGAAGTACAGTTAATCTCACAAAACCCAAGGTCATCTTTACGGGTTCGTAATCCAATAAAACAGGTGTTAGGTTTAAGAAAATCTGCTGAAACTCACGATGATAGTTTCATGGAATACAGTAAACCTCACACAACTAACGATCATAGGTCTTTAAGAGAAGTTTAATCGGAAGAGAACACACGGTGATAGCCTTAGGAAATACTCTAAAACTCACACAAACCATGGTGGTAGACAGGTTTTTATCTTTATTAAATCATCGGACGGACGACGGGCAACGGACATTTAACGATCCTAAAATGCATGACGCCCCACCCCTCTTTGACCGAGTGTTTACAAACTTCTGTTACAGAAATGTGCTGATAGGTATAATACCCTGCGCCTCTTCCCCATTTCTGGATAACTGAGGGATGTTTATATTTCTTCATCAACTTTGATATCTTTGATATCAAATGAAAGTTACTTTATAGACTTTCTATGAATGCCTTACAAATAAAAATGAACTAAGTAATCGTATTTAAATTTTTATTTCAAATTTTATCGTTTTTCCTCTGAAAATCGCACTCTCAAATCCGGTAAGTAAACTACGGCGTCCCCTCCGAACATTTTTGTTTTAATTCTGAATCAATTCTAATAATTTTTCATTCAAATAAAATATTGCTTTCTTAGCTTCATAGCAATGACTTAAAATTAAGAAGTAAAATATTTTGTTTCAAGATTAATTATGTTACCTTCTTAAACCAAACTCTGAAATTCAATAAGATTCACAGGGCGCACTCTAATCTCTCTATTATTCCATGATCAATTTTAATAATTTCGGTATCAAAAGCTTTCTAGTAATGCCTAAAGAATAAAAATAAATAAAGTTATCGTTCTCTCTCTTTTTTCTATCTTTAACTACATTCATATATTCGGTAAGAAAACCAAGACACACCCCCTTTAGATACTTTATAAATAAATAAATTTTGAAAATTAAGACCATAAGCTTCAAATATATAAACAAATATCTATATACACTGAAATTATGAAATATACCTTAATATTGTTCATATGTGTTACGGAAAAATAGTTTTTTTGATTTCGGAAAGAAAATCTCGGCTTACGCTTTAAAATCTAAAATATTTTAATAATGGCGTTGTTTTTGTATGAAATGAAATGTGTGTGAAAACAAATCAAATATTAGATAGTATTAAGGTTATGAATACAATTACTCGCTTGAAGATGGTCATTTTCGTCCAAATCGCCGATATTTCTCAGGAAAACAAGGGGAAAATGATAAATCATTTATTTATTAAGTTATCTTATTCATTATAATTATTTTGTATTAAATAAATGGTGAAATATTTAATTTTCAAGAGGTGTATGTAGATTTAGTGATTAAAATGGTGGAAAATAATGCAACAAGAAATATCTTAGAAAGAATGCGGCCTGTTTTCATTCAGTTTTATTGAGTAGGGTAGAGGCGCTTCTGCACATTTCCGAAACAGAAGTTCGTAAACACTCGTTCAAAGAGGAGCAGGGCGTCAAGCATGAATTACAATCGTTTCACTCTGTTTATCTACTTTTGTCATTTTTAACATGTTACTTTGTAAACGTACCCTTGTAGTTCTGCAACTGGAAACACGTCTTATCAAACTCTATATTCTGTATTCGAGTTTTGCATTTCAGTTGCATATTTCAGGTACATATAGATATCTATAAGTGTGTTGCTTATGTATTATATGCAATGGCTGATACGAACTTGTAACTTTGTTTTTTGTTTGATGGTTTCCATGTTAGGCCATTTGTTTAGATCCATGTGTAAACTTGTTATTTAAAGGTGTGAATCTTTTATTAAAGGTTTGGATTTAGTGGCATATTATTGGCAATGCACGGATACAGTAAAAATGCAAAACATATACGTTCGCATTTTCAAAAGTAATTTAAAAAACATACACTTTAAAATGTTTAGGAAATATATATCAATTCTGTGTGCATTGTTGTAGAATAATGCACGGTTTCAGTTCAAATGCATAGTAATATAATCACGAAGGCCGATAGGCCTGAGTGATTAATTACAAAGCATTTGAACGAAAAATGTGCATGATTATACAACAATGCACGAAGAATTAATATCAATTTCCATTCTAACACGTCAATAAAGAATAAAATAATTATTATATAGTTGAATTTTATGTTTGCGGTTAAATTTGTTGTCGCATCAGAGTTTCTAATAGAAACGTACTTTAAAGGCTGTTCAAGTTGGTTAAAAAAACTGTCGTTAAATCTACCGTTAGTGGAAACATTTTAAGAATAACGAATTTGAAAACGTTGATAAAACTTTGTTTGTTTATTTCATTTCACTCTATATTTTCATCGAAATACAAAATATGAATAGTGAAATAAATGTGCAATTTAACTCGTTTGCAATATTAAAGTAGCCTTCTTTAATTTGATTATTTTTGGACGCGCTGTTTGGCGCTACATTGTGACGTCACGTAAACAACACTTTAAACTTTTGTACATCGTTAACAACTGAATTAAAGATATTGGTGTTCGGATTCATTTTCTAAGTAAGACCATTTTATTTCATTCTAGATGGTTAAAACAACAAAATTCAACAAAAAAAGTGTTTTTTTATTTATCAGATTTTTCAAACAAAATGGCGCCGTCAATATGTCGGTTTGAAAATGCACAGGGAGGTCATAAGAACGGCGAGTACATTGTTGTAGAATAATGCACGTTTCCGGCCTTCTTTGTCTATATAGGAAAATTTCCGTTAGTGTTGGAATTGGATTTTTGGCAACGAACGCCCTCCATAACAATGTACTTAATTATAAACCGTAAAGTCAAAAGAGTAAACAAAAAGATTCGGATAATATTACGGCGAAACAAGCTTGTAAGGGACATGAGAATTAACAACCACACTGTATAACACCTTGCGGTGTATTTTATCTGTCATAATAATTACCTGATTTTCAATAGTTTTTATTCGTGTTGATATATAGTATTACCATTGTTAAAGGTACATTCGGATCCATGCATATATCTCTCTAAACTATTTAACAAAGTCTTGGTCTTTATCAAATTTAGTTTAATCACATGTATATCGGATGTCAAAAAAGAAAAACAGAAACATATATTTTGGTCAATCCGATTTTTCTTTTTGTTTTGGCTTTGTTGTAATGAAGAGGCGATTCCCAATAATATCGTTCTAATAGTGAAATGATACTTCCATTTTTATACAAAAACATCATGGCCATACAATTTCGGAAATAAACGGACACTAAAAACCGAATAAGAGCAAGCATTATTTAAATAACAAAAGATATTATGGAAAGGTGATGTAACAGCGCTTTTTTGTAATTCACATTGAAAAGTAAATGTTTTTAATGTCACGGCATACTGCATATTACATTGGGAATACATATAAATAAATAATGAAAATTATCTATACCTTGAGATTGTAACATAACATATAGCTTCAAAATATTATTGTTTAGCATAACGCATGAGTAGATAAGGAAGTAAATATCCACCTTTTTTTAAATTACACGAGTCTACTATTCCCATTTGTATGTGTGGATATCAAGTTATCGGATTTAAAAAATTATGTCACAAGGTATGTAACTTCTTAAAGAATATAAAACCATTTCACATAAAATTTTCTTTTTATGAAAATTTAAAATTGTACAATTATGTTGTTCCCTTATTTTTATGGTAGGTTCTCTAATATGTTTATGTTAACGACATACCGTATTTTATTTAATACATACGGATATTGTACTTAACAGGATTATCTGGAACAACTTGATTTTGGACATGCGTTATCGGCAGATATCGAGAACTTCAAATATGTTTCTGTCATAGCGGTGTTCAATTGTTTCTGATAAAAAAAGAAAATAAAAAAGTAAACTAATGACAGCATATTAATTTCTTGCATATCAGACAGGATTTTCTTGCATGTCAGACAGGATTATCTACCGTTTACACCGGTGCTAGAAAACCCTGTCTTACACCCCCCCCCCCGTGTAAGACAAGTCGCGTGTTTTAAATGACGTCATTGACTCGCGCCTTTTATGAATGAATCGCGTTCTTAGCGTGACGTCATTTTCCGTTATGAATAAAGTTGTATGTTCATACGCTACTTTAAGAAAAAAGTGCGTAATGTTAATATCAGTTTTCATAATATCTGTTCCGAAAATAATTAACGTGATATGCAAGAAAAAGAATCAAACACCGGCTGTTGGTACAGACGGGAATATCTAGCTCTCGGGTAACTGTTTAGCGGAAACTCGGCAGAGCCTCGTTACCGCCGTAAACAGTTACCCTCGAGCTAGATATTCCGGTCTGTACCGGCAGCCGGTGTAAGATTCTTATAATCTACCGTTTACACCGGTGCTAGAAAACCCTGTCTTACACCCCCATGTAAGACAAGTCGCGTGCTTTAAATGACGTCATTGCTGCGCGCCTTTTATGAATGATTGGCGTTTTTAGGATGACGTCACTTAACCGTCATGAATGAAATTGTACGTTCATACGCTACTATAAGAAAAAAGTGCGTAATGAGAATATCAGTTTTCGTAATTTCTGTTCTGAAAATAATTGATATGCAATATGCAATAAAAAGAATCAAACACCGGCTATCGGTACAGACAGAAATATCTAGCTCTCGGGTAACTGTTAAGAGGAAACTCGGCAGAGTATCGTTACCGCCGTAAACAGTCACCCTCGAGCTAGATATTCCGGTCTGTACCGGCAGGCAGCCGGTGTAAGATTCTTATACGGTTTATACTATTTAAATGAGTAAATTAATTTCTTGATGCTTTTTATCTTAACTTTCTCTCGAGAGGTCTTGGGGTCCATATTTATTAATAAGAATATATACGTCTTTGATAACTATGAACATTGGGCATTTGTTAAAAACTATAGTGTGTGATTGTGCATTACATTATAATATGGATTCATCACATCAAAAATAGTTTTGTATCGCTACACTAGTATGGGGCACTATGTTTGAATTTGAAGGTTAAGCGTTTTATGTAAAACTAGACGCTTTCCTGCCATTGAATTGTAATAACAAAACCTAAATACATTACATGTTTGCATGAAATGTTTCACTATTTTGTTTAAAAGTGTATCATACTTTAAACAATAAGCACTTTATAATGTCATCAAAATGAGAGCATAAGTTTTGTTCCAGTTATTAATTAAATCTGTCAATATAACATGAAACTAACTTATTACATAATTAATTGTATAGTAATAAGGTGAATATAGTTTATTACTTATACGATGTAAAATTCTTGTTTTGCTAGTTATAACTGTTCGTTTCTGTATGTATATGTGTCAATGCTAACCGCTTTATGCGTGAAATTAAATTAATATATATCAGAGAATATAAGTCCGATGTGATATATAAAGACTCGGCAACTCCTTCCTTGGCTGTCTTAGATATATATCATTTTTAAAATTTGAAACGTATTATATTAACACTGAAAAAATACACGGCGATCTGAATTTGCTTTTGCAGTGTTATCGTATTCTTTGAAAATCTGCATTATATTTTTTGTGCGTCCTTTTCTCGCGCTTGAGTGATACAGTCACACATCGTTGTGATTCCAATAGCAAGTCATCAAATTGAACGGATATGTGTTTGTTTTCAGTGAAAATATTATATGTCTCATATCGAAGTGATACAGATAACACAGGTGTGATATATAGTATATTCCCTTATTATAATGCAAATAAGTATATTCAATTTTTGTAATCACTCTACGCGCATGAAAAAAATTTCATTTTTTTTTTACTTTGTAAAAGATAGTAAAAAACAGATACTCTTTATTTACATATATTCCTCATAGATTAATATCATATTATTATATTCCTTAGATTAGATAAAATCAATCTATTTTATTTAAAGGTACCACAGTTGACACCATGACAAGATTGGTCTCAGTAATTTTGGTGTTAGTGTGTCAGATTGGTAAGGAACATTTATGTTAATTTATTGCAAGTCTACAGCAATATACTGTATTGAAATAGAACATGAAATAAAGTAGGCTGTATTGGATATCTTGAAAAGGTCCTTAATCCATACATTATTTCAAGTGCCTGTTTCTATATTGTATATATAAGTAAATGCTCATTTTTATCCATACATTGAAACAAATAATAATTAATTTAAATAGAAATGCTGAATAGCTTTACTGTTTGTTCAAAAACAGATACATTTTTGTTTTAGAATTATCAACACATATCTGATCAGATTGTTTATGTTGCAAAAACGGGGCAAGTTATTGTGTTGATCAGAAGAATATTATTGAATGTATATTTATCTTTTCTGGTGTAAAAAGCACCGATGACCTTTAAAAAATCTTATCAACAACATACATAATGAAACATGTTAATCTTGATTTTATTATTTTTCTAGGGTTATCGATGCAGGCTTGCAATGAATGTGCATGTTGTAAGGGAAGTCATAATTGTGATACCGTTAGGAATTGTCGCGATGGTTGTATCGACGGATACTATGGTGATAAATGCACAACGGAGTGTCTGGAAAATTGTAAAACTTGTGTAAATGGTTATGGATGTACAGAATGTAAACCTGGTTATTATACTGACAAATGTATAATACCATGTGGGAAAGGTTGTCTTAATAATACATGCAAACTTATATCAGGAGAATGTACCTGTAAATCGTCTAATTTTATTGGAAGTAAATGTGATGCTTGCGTAGGTTTATGGTATGGTGATGAATGTAACAATACATGTCCTAGTAACTGTGGAAGTTGTATATCAGATACAGAATGTACCTGGTGTGTAAACACTGCTTATTACGGATCGTATTGTCAGTATAGATGCTCACCTGGCTGTGACGAGGGGAAATGTCGTAAATATGATGGATATTGTTCTAGTGGTTGCAAACCTGGTTATATTGGTGACAAATGTGATGCATGCTCACCTGGAACATATGGTAACTATTGTGAATTACCTTGCCCGGAAAATTGTTATAAATGTGTTTCGGCATCAAATTGTACCGTATGCAAAACCGGCTTCTATGGGGAAACATGCACTAATACATGTTCATCAGGTTGCTATGGCAACTGTTCTATTGCTGACGGTCGATGCTTTGAATGTAGACCGGATTTTGTTGGAGAATTTTGTGACACATGTAAGGATGGAACATATGGAGTTAATTGTTCCAAACTCTGTCGTGATACTGATTTGAATTGTCAAGAGTGCATCTCCGATGAATTAGGTATATTTAGAAACTGTATAAAATGTAACAGTGGGTCCTATATAGTATCTCCTTTTGATCAAAGTTTTAGCAGGTGTATAAATTGTTCAAATGGCTGTATTGACAATACATGCAGTACAGAGGGATTATGTGAAAGTGGATGTGTTCGAGGAAAATGGGGAGATATGTGCAATTCTAATTGTCCAACAAGCTGTTTAGAATGCAGTCAAACAGATGGATCATGTTTGGATTGTACACGGGACACATTTTCAGATGATTGCTCACAAAACTGTAACACAAATTGCAATGTGACTGCCAATGATCGTATTTGCACAAGAGATGTTGGGAAGTGTTTACATGGTTGTAAATCAATTACTAAATATGGGGAATATTGTGAAAATCCATGTAGTTATACTTGCAAAAACGAAACATGTGACTGGAAAACGGGACATTGTCTAGAAGGATGTGTTATAAATTACCATGGATTGTTCTGTGACAATTTATGTTCTACTTCATGTCTATCTTATACCGGCAAACGTGTGTGTGATGATATAAAATGTCATTGTTTATTTGGATGCAAAAAGGGTTTTAGTGGAAACAAATGTGACAAATTATGCAGTAGCCAATGTATAAATATAACTTGCAACCAGGTAACAGCTGAATGCTTGTATGGTTGTACAGACGGATTTAAAGGTTCGAAATGTCTTGAAGGTAATTAATTATAAACTAACAATGCCGCAGACCTTTTCAAAATTATTTCGTCAATGTAAACAATCGTTAGCAGCATTCATTGTTGTCAATTAAGGTGCCGCTGAAGCTTCTTAAATTTAAGTTTCACTCTGTATAAGAGTGTCGACATAAGCATTTCGTATCATTTGCATGACAACTCAATATTATGACAATTCATTATTGTTATAGACATATTTAGAGGACCTAAATATGTTGAAGATTAATTAAAACAAAACGATATTAAACCTTTAAGAAAAAATATCCAACGTTGAAATAGGTTCAACTGAACTGCGCTTTTGTCTTTTATTGCATATATACATATATACTTTAGTCCGTTAGTGAACTGACCCAGTGAGCGGAAATATTGTAGCATGTCAACTAAAAGTTAAGCAGTGCTTAAGCCAATAGACCAGCAGTAAACGATGAGTAGACATCAGTATGATGCACACATTTTAATACATAATCGTGCTTTCAATAATTAAATTAGCTTTCTTTTCCTAAACTTCAAAAACAAACCGATAATTGCGCTAATATATCTTGTTCAAAACCCATTATCGTACAGATGACAATTATCATTTAATCATATCGTGTATGTTCACGGAATAATTTTGACATGATAATAGGTGCAAGTACGAAGGTATTGGAAATAGCTAAATGTCCTTTGATATCTAGTGTCTTATGTTTCATGTTTGCACTATTAGATATTTTATTTAATGAGATTTTTAAAAATTCTTTATTTCAAGCATAAATTATAAATGGCTTCAGTGTTTAATTCAGAAAGTGTACTTGACCAAATTTCTAATTAATCACCTTTTAAAATGAACTTTTCTGAAAAATGTGAAAATATATTTTTTACAAAATCATCTATTAGTAAATGTTATTTCTATTCAAACCAGCATATCAAATCAAGCTTATCACATGAAATTCAGGCATGCATAATTAAAATACAACAGACGAATTTCAACAACGTGCATCACCAGAAAATGATGTGTGTATTAGTTTTACAGTATAAATTTAATCCGTTTTGATGATACATGTATAATAAGAGATAGCATAAAAACATCAACGTTTATACCGACTATATTAATATAGGAACGTGGTTTTTAAACAATCTATTCGAGTCTTACAATATTCTATTATTCAACTGTTTCTTGTATAACCTTGATATCACAGCAAGTAATTGTGTTTCACGTTGAGGAAATCATACAGATATGTCTTCCGCGACTGCAATAGTAATAGTAATTAGAATTTGATATATAATGAAAAAAGATGAATATATATTATGTTTCTTTACAATATAAATATGAAAAATATAAAGATACTTTGCGGTTTGTTACATATATCTAAGCGTCGGTACGCAGTTTTCTATCATCAAGTTGAGAGATGACCTTTAATAGTAATTAGAGTTTCCACATTTTTGTTTTTACATCAATCCAAACCATTTTTTTTTTTGCTTTTAAAAGCAATGACATCGCAAAGTGTTTGTCAATATGTGCAATATATATGTATGTTAAATAATTATTTTAAAATAACATTATATGTTTCCAAATCTGTGGCGTTTTAAAAGTGGATGCATATCTTTTATCAAGAATTATAATCAGATTTCAACTCTTTATTATCAAAGAATATACAGAAAGAAATCTGTTTAAATAAACCACTTATACAAATGTAATATTCAAAGCAGACACTTTACACAATAAACATAGCTTTAACTACGATATATTTGGTGTCTTCGAGGGAGGTTTTAGACAAACATGACTGAATGTAGATAATAGAAAAGTACCAAATGCATTACAGAAAATCCAATTTGTCTATAAGGGGAACATCAGTTTGCGACATATTTATCTTAAACTACATATCTTTTTCTTTAAAAAAATTGATATCATGTGTATTCTTGGCCGCTTAATTTAAACATTGCTTTATTTAACTATTTAAAAATAATCTTAAATATTTAAAATAGATTCATGTCATGACAAATATTATTAATTTTGTCTAGCAATATTACTGTATCGAGATGGCATTCTGATAGGATCGATAGTAGGATCAATTTTAGCAGGTGGCATTGTTGTTGGAGTTATCGCTTTGGTTGCCTTTAAAGTATGGAAGCGTAGGTTTGTAACTAGATTACATTTGACAAATTTTATTATTAATTTACGCTAGTTCATTCTAAATAGTTTTTGTTATATTTTATTTTTGGAAGGTGCTAGATTTTATAGTGCATTCGTATCAATATAATGTTTTTAGTTTGGTCATCAATGGAAAAAGAATATAATTTTTCATTGCTATAAGAGAAAATATTTCCTAGCATTGTTCATAAAATATAGCTTTTTGATCACAGTACCTCTAAAACATTTTCTTGAACATTTTTTTAGGAATGGAAATAACAAAGAAACAAATACCCATGGATACGAAAATACTCAAGTGGATGACGAATATCGTACAAATGGTACAAATGGTAGTGCTTTATATTTACTTCTCATAAACAATATGTCATTTTATGTAGTCAAAGTAGTCCTTTATATTTGATATATGTTTTTGTTATAACTTTGTTGAATATATATAAATAAAATCATTTTATTAATATAAAATCTTAAATCACACCCCTCTTTTATATAAGAATTTAATTTAATACATGTATTACATTTCCTACTACGTAAGTGTTATTTACAATTTATGTACGTTTTAAGGAATTGTATTGTTATCAAAGCAATGTCAAAACACATCATTTGTTACTTTTAGATTAAGTGTTAGTCGATTATCATGTTGCATTAGAACATTTACTTTTGTTTCTGTCAGGATTCTCAGGATTTCAAACAGAAGACACACATGACAGCGACAGTCCTGTGACATACGAAGATTTGAAGTCACGTGACGACAGATTATACAGTGAGCTAAGTACAAGTCACCAGTTATCACCACCACCAGCTGATTATGTTAACTCTAGCTAATTAGGAATTACTTTACAAATTTTAGAACAAATCCTGTTTTCTTCAATTGTTTTAGTGATTAGTATAGTTTTTTTAAATGCATTAATGTGTTTCGTCTGAAACTGAACAAAACCGAAATATATGTTAGTTTTTGTTTCCACTAAAACAGTTATTATGATTGCATGACCTGCTCCAATTATATTTTTTTTGTGACAACCAAAATGTATGTTGAAAAGTTGTTTTGCTTTTGAAAAGCATCTTTTTTACAGATAAAATCTAAATTATATGAATGCTTTTGATTATTTTTTAACATTGTGTTTTATATTATACATGCATATGTAATAATAATTATACAACACAGTACAAACATATAAGTACATTTATATATGATAATAAACGCAATAATATTTCGTATGGAGTATTTGATTGTTATAAATATCTATTCGTCCATACCATTTATACGTTGTAAGAAACTTTTGAACACATGTGAATATTACATTACTTCCTGTTACGTTCAAGTGCGGATCTTAATTATAATAAGAGTGGCAAAGTAGCACTATAAATCTTACACACATAATAGGTAGAGCATAATGCGATGACAAAGCAAAAGTTTGATGCGTATCTTGCAACGAAAAAGAATATTTTTTAAACATATGAACACACAGAAGTATTTATATATTGGTCGCCGTAGTAAACAGGATTCTTCATTTTACACTTATATGGTAGCTGTTCACTTTTACAGGTTAAGGTCAAGTTCTATGTGTAACTTCAAAATAATTATATTTTTTCTTAACTATACTAAGATTTGTAGTTTATAACATTTTAGTAAATAAGGAACTTTATCCGTGTACTTGTTTTACAGTTTTTGATATTTTCTTAAATTATGTATTACTTTAGATTTTGAATTCATGATAACTGGAAATAAACAGTTATAATTTTTTTAAACAGTCATTTAAATTTCTTTACGTCTTTTTACTCATTAATACTATACATACATACATGTATGGATACATTGTTTAAACATGTTATGGTACACAATTTTAACAAATTTTTTTGAATATTTATATGGCTGGATTATTCGAATTCAACACAGTTCTATTAACAAAATAGTCTTTGAATCATCGATGCGTCGCATGTATTTCTTAAAATACTGGACAAATTTGAAGAATCGTGAATTTTATATGACTTATATGCATAAGAACAATAAATATATTGTTCAAAGTTATTTTCAGTTTTCTTCAAAACACAACTTTGTGCTGTATAATTCTTCCTTACAAAGATTTAGGACAAATTGTCTAAAACAACTGTTTGCAATATAACCGACTTCTTGTGACTATTTTGCTGGTTTATAAAGGCTGCACATTTAACTTAAAGATGAAGAATTAATAAGATCAATAAATGACATTTTACATTTGTATTGGGAAGAATACAATGACATAACGTAGAAATACAACAAGAATATTGATATTGATATATTCAATATATACCTGAACATTTTAAATATCAAAATCGATTTCTATAAAATCTGCTGTTAACAATCAGGTATAAAGCTTCTGTAAAATTTTGTTTACATAAAGAAATTAATATAAAGGCAAATTACGTATTTAGACATCAGTTACATCTACATAGAATTATACGAAATATATATTTCGTAGGAATACGATACAAGTCTGTCCAGGGTGTACATGTTTATTTCTTAAGCTTGTGAGTTCAGTCCGAACTGCTGTTTTGGATGTCAAGGCGGCTTTTATGGCGAAAAATGTACATATGATTGTTTGGAAAATTGCAAAACGTGCAGGAAAAGTTATCTAAGGAATGCTGGCCGCTAGGGTTCAAAACCCGTCTGTAGCAAACTGTTTCTTCCGTGAGCAAGAAACTTTACTCTATGCTTAGTAGTGTTTGGTTAATAATTAGAGGTTAATACTTGGTTGCTGCTCGCCATTATGCGATAATGGTCCGAAGATGTGCATAATGGCCTGAGGGCCGCAGGCCTGAAGAACATTATGAACTCGAGGGCCATTGTCGCATAATTGCGAGCAGCGAACAAGTATTAACGTCTTTAATACCTATGTTCGAAATACGGCGTTTAGACATCGCCGCTAATCTTGGTTGTCGCCCTTTTTAAGAAAACGGACGGTTGTCAATGTAAACAAATCTGTCATACAGTACAGTTTAACACTCCGATTACTTTAGAGAACAAGACAACACAAAATAAATATAAGAAAATGTTGTTTTATTGTTGTTTTTATCAATAAACACGCTTTACTTTTTTTGAGAATTGCATTTAGATATAGTGCCAGTTTTTTATGAAGTTTTGCGCCTTCAAGAACGGTTTCTGATATCTAGGTGTAGTATTATGGAAAAATAATGCCAAGTAGCAAGGCGGCCAAAATTGCATAATGACCTGGATGTTGCCATTATGGCCCTGAAATACCCTAGATTGTGTTACTATATGATTGTGTTACTATATATAGTAACACAGGTATTAATATATAATAATAATCACATATATCAACACTGAAGTCAAACTAACTTGACATCTGCTGTAATGAATCTTGAAAAGAGTGATTCCTCGGAAGCATTTATCACCACAAAATAAAATAAAAATTGCATACTCAGTTTGATTGAATCTTAAAAATGAGAGATAATGAAAAGAATGCAGCATTCCTAATACCTCCTAGCATCGGCTTCAGCGGTTCAAGCGGTACTCAATTTTCAAGACTTAAATTGATGGAATCAATGATTACGAAGGACCAGGCAAATAATACAACACTGAAGTGAAGACCGGGTCTACAGCTGCTGTGTTGAAACATAAGAATCTGGAAAAGAATGTTCCCTCGGAGGCATTAACCACAACAAAATAACATGAAAATTGCAGTCTCAGTGCGAGTATAAGAATCAGGAATTAGGAAGATCCTTACACAATCGGACCTTATCTTTCTTACCCTTACATCTTTGGTTATAGTATCAACCTTAAAAGTAACATTATGCCCATCCAATTTTAAATGGTGAATGTACAGGAAAAGAAGCATTCACTACTGATTTCTGTATACTTGTTTCTACATGTAACATTAATAGCCATTGTTAAATTTACATAAATTTAAAATTAACAAATTGTAAACGTTTCTTCACATCAATTACCTATGTGACTCATGAAAGTTCTATAAATATCTTTCGGAAATTATAGGTAGTATTTAATTGACAAAATGTGTGGGACTTTTTGTAGTTTTTTGTAGTTTATCAAAAACATTTTTCAATATCAAATATTGGTCAATTATCATTATTATAGTCAATCATTTGAAAAATATACATGATAAACAAGCACAATTTGACAATGAAAAAAATATCAGTTTGAAAAAATAATTATGGTTTATGTTTGAAAACTCTCTCTTAAACACAATGAATTTAAGTTTAATTTGAAATTGATACTTTAACGGAAGACTGAAGATGTAGAAGAATAAGGTCAAGTTTTTATAAATGAATGCAAAAGGAAGTGAAATTTTTGTTTATAAAAAGAATCACACGCTTCATGGTTTAAAATCGTCGGGTTTACTCAAATCATTTGCTCTTTTATCTTTTTTATCAAGCGGAATGTATTGATACCTAGTATTCATTATTTTAACGGATTTGTCTGGACATTTAAGTGTGCTTCCAAGGTAAATATTTTAATCGCCATTACTGTTTATGTAGCCGGATTATCGCCATAACACAGGTACTTCTATATTAAAAGTATTTATATATTGAGCTATTTTAAATTATTCTAAATAACTCTGATGAATAAACATGTCATTTCCATCACGCAATACGTGTCAATAGGTATACTAACTTAAATGTATTTGTATTAAGGATATCTTGCATTCGCATTGTGTCCATCATTTGTGAAATAATAATGATTTTAGTATTTCAAAACCACCTGTTGCTTACTGTTTATATATTCTTACTTATATCATTAGCAATAATATTTAAATGTAAATTTTGATTTTGTCTATCTGAAATTCATGTTACTCTGAAGTTTAGATATATTGTAACTATAAAAATAAAACACAATGAAAGTCTGCAAAATACTTTATCCCTACCGCAGGTATTACATGCTGTAAAGTATTAATTTTGTTTCATCTTATTTAAAAGTCCATAGCTTATACAGTATTAACAAATTCACTACCTATTGTATAAAGTTAAGAGGAAAGATAAATTTAACTTTGAAACAGGCATATTCTTTTTTTTTGTATCTATCTATAATTGTGAATTTAAACGAGCATATTTTAAAGCTATATTTATCCTCGTGTAGTTGAAATTTATATTTATTTCAACTTTACTTTAAAAAATGTCACATTTTTTGTAAGGTTACAGCTTTACTACTATTAAAAATCTATTTGAGAGATCACATTACTTAAAACGGGTGTAAACACAGTACAAGTTTTTTAATCATCTTAAAATGGTGAGAATAATGAATCCCTAAAGAACGCACAAACGATTTATTTACAGTTTATATCCGTTGTACCATCATGACGAGGCTGTTGTTTCTCTTTACAGTATTTCAGATTGGTAAGATAATTTAATATGTAAAAGAAATAGAATTAGTACATGTAAGATAAAATGCTTACATATTGTATCCAAGAAAGAAAAATTGTAAAAGATTTTTCATAGAATGGCTATATATAGTATTTTGAAGTAATACAAGGATAAACAACAATCATAACTTATTAATATTTTTATATAAAATCTTTAAAAATTTCAATAAAGCTATTTCCATAACTTTAAAATCGTTTCTTAAAAAAGTTGTAGCAGAGAATGTTCCTGTTATTTAAAACTCATTAATATTGTATATCCACTGATAATCAAGAAGTATATACTATAATTCTGCCGCACACTAACGGTTTAACAATGATTCCGTGCACTCAGTAAGGGAACAAACGTATTTTTATCAAGGTACTTTAGAACGTTTTTTTTTCAAAATTATATCAGTGATTTGTTGATTATATACAGATTATTCAAAAATTAAACTATAATAATTCAGCCATAAGTGTTATTGATTATATATTGATGGAATAATCCGTTGTCAAGGAAAATAAAGATTTCATACTTTGTAAGTTACAACTCAACCAGCAATATAATATTGTAGGAATATCAGTGGAGGCATCCTCAGAGTGCGAATGCTGCAAAAATGGACAGCTGTCTTGTGATTCAAATAAAAATTGTATAAGTGGATGTATAGCTGGTTATTATGACGAGAAATGCACAGAGAGGTGTCTCGAAAATTGCAGAAACTGTGTTAATGTTAATGAATGTACAGAGTGTCGACCCGGTTATCATACCAACAAATGTAATTTACTATGTGGAAAAGGTTGTGTTAACAATACATGCTCAGTTTCATCAGGAAAATGTTCTTGTAAATCGGGTTATTTTGTCACAGGTAAATGAGATGTTTGTTTGGGGAAAAAAGTATGGTGATGAATGTAATAAAACGTGTCATATATCATGAGGGCGTATACCTTCTATTGAATGATAATTGATTTTTTTAGCAACAATCAAACAACTTATATAGATTTAGGGAAATTTTTTGCTTGTTTTATAGCCGATATTCTGTCATATTCCCAATTGAAAATAGTGTTTTCCCAATCCACAGGAAAAATTCCTAATTAAAAGTTACACAATAAAAATATTGAATAACAAATTCTAAAATCTTTGAAAATAAGATACCGTCCTAGACAGTGGCTCTTTGCATTCATTTATTCACTGCAAAATTTAAGTTATGCATTTTTCCCAATTTTTAACAAAGCATTGCTGAAATTCCCCATACAATGGATATGGGTCATATTACCAAAATCCCTGAGATTGATTGATGATTATTTTTGTTTTAGTAGTTTGCCACAGGTAACTGGAGAATATAAGAAAA